CTGTGTGTGCCACTCCAGGGACCCTGTGTGTGCCACTGTAGGGACTCTGTGTGTGCCACTCCAGGGACCCTGTGTGTGCCACTGTAGGGACTCTGTGTGTGCCACTGCAGGGACTGTGTGTGCCACTGTAGGGACTCTGTGTGTGCCACTGCAGGGACTGTGTGTGCCACTCCAGGGACTCTGTGTGTGCCACTGCAGGTACCGTGTGTGCCACTGCAGGGACCCTGTGTGTTCGGGGGGCATGGGGAGCACTGGGGCTGTGGCTGTCCCTGTCCCACTCCCCAGTCCCCAGGGAACTCTGTCCCCTGATGTAGCAAAGTGTCCCAAGGCAGGCAGGACACACGAGGTTATTTCAGAACCAAGCTCCAGCGTGACATCTGCGGTGTCAGAGCTGGAGCAGCCTGGGCCAGTGGAACCCATGGCAGGGGGCTGGGATGGTCTCATGATCCCAGCCCCAGCACAGCCCTGTGTTTGTGCAGGGCTGCTGCCCCACACCTCAGGCTCTGATTTTCCCATTGCTGGGGTCTCAGGGGAGGAAGCTCTTGGACAATTCAGCCATTTGTTTTGGCAGCTCCTGCGGGTGCCGGCTCCGGCCTTCCTGGATGTGCTGACACGGAGCTGCTGGGCCCAGAGCTGCCACAGGGCCTCCATCCTTCACTGCTCAGAGTAACAATGAGCAAAGGACCCAGAGACGTCCTTTCCCTGATCCTGGTCCTGTGTGAGGCTGTCCAGGGACTTTGGGATCTCCTCCTGTAAGAGGAAAGTACTTCATCCACCCAACCCTGCAAGAGCAGCATCCCAGAGGAATCCTGCCTGTCCCAGCTCCCCCTGCCCTGAACTCTGCAGAAATGAGACATCTCAACTTCTATAATAAAAGTTCTCATTCCAAATCTCCTTGCAGCCCTTTTTGGATGCAGCATCTGCCAGAGGGCAGGGTTAAATGGGATATTGGGCAGGAATTGTTCCCTGGGAGGGTGGGCAGGGCTGGCACAGGGTGCCCAGAGCAGCTGTGGCTGCCCCTGGATCCCTGGCAGTGCCCAAGGCCAGGTTGGACACTGGGGCTTGGAGCAGCCTGGGACAGTGGGAGGTGTCCCTGCCATGGCAGGGGTGGAACAAGGATGATCTTTCAGGTCCCTTCCAACCATTCTGGAATTCCATGATCTCCCATTGTCCCATTGTCCTGCCCTGCAGCGCCAGGGCAGGGGGTGGCAGGAACAGCTCACCCTGGTTTCCAGCAGCAGGGATCTGTCAGGATGAGCCGGGCGGCTCCCCCAGGTGACTCAGAGCCGGGGATAGATAAAGCTGCCAACGCCTCAGACAGTTGTTTGGGGTTAATGAACATCAAATAGACCCAATACTGAGATGCTCCCTTCAGTCTGGCTGCCCGGAGGGCCCAGCCAAGGCCGTTCCTGCCCCAGTGAAGGGCGGCTCCGTGGCCCAGTGACAGGGATCGAGTCACCGATCCCAGGGCAGGACAGTTCCCTGCAGAGTGCCAGCACCATTCCTGTTGGAGTCCCTTCTCCTCCACGAGAGCCAGACTGATGCTCTCTGATATTCTTGGAGCCATCCATCATTCCCCTCTGGCCTGGGTGTCCTGGATGGAGGCTGGGGCACATCCCTGGGCCTGTGGCTCGTCAGGAATGCACAGATTGCTGCTGATCAGAAGCTGCTCCGTGTAGTGCTGAGCACAGGGGCTGACCCTCCCCAGCCCCTGGCACTGGAATTCCAGGAGGTTTTCCTGAGCCAAGCTCCCCACACTCCCCAGCTCTGTGCTGCTGTCCCGTTTGCCAGGCTCCCTGTGCCTGGTGAGTCAGCAGCATTCCTTCTCTTCCTTTTTTTTTATGTGGATTTTTGCTGAGGCAGCCTGACTCCCTTATCTTGGTGCCAACACATTTGGGCAGGTCCCTGTGCCACTCCTTCCTGCTCTGTGGTCCCATGAGGATTGGTCACAGCAGGTACAGCTGTAGTCCCCGAGGAATGGCTCAGGCATCTCAGAGGCAGGAGCTCTGAGTTCCCCATGGAGCAGCCTGCTAGGATCCCCCAGCACTGCTGCTTAGGGCACCACTGCATAAAAGAGCATTTCTGTTGTTGGAAAATGGCCTGGGATACACGGATCAGGGAGTGTGGCACACTCCTCATGGGACAGGACAGGGAATGGGGCAGGATGGGCTGTGCTGCCCTCAGAAATGAGCCCCAGGGCCCCAAAGGAGATGCTGAGAGACCTCCTGGTGCCCTCAAAGCTTTCTCCTTCCCTCTTGTCCGTGGGGTGTTCTCATTTGCTACTGAAACCCGTCTGGAGGCAGCAGAGCCCTGAGCCTGGGGCTGGAGAGTGACCGGAGGTGACATTTGTGTCACCGCACCTCCACAGTCCTGCTCTGAGCAGAAGTGGTTTTGTCTTCTGTGACAGCCTCAGGGTAAATCCCCCTCACTACCTGTGCTGCCTGCACTCCCTTTTCCCCTTGTGAAATCAAAGTATTCCAAAGACCTCGAAGTGTGTATCTCTATAGCCACGCTTTCCTATTCCCTGTCCTGTTGCACCCAGCACAGTCAGGCCACACAAAAGCCAAATCCGTGTTTTGTTGCTATAGAGAAATGGAGATTTGACCCATCAGACCAGCAGAAGTTGGTTATTTAATCCTGAGGAGCCCATGGAGAAGTAAAGGGGGATGGAATTACTCGGAACCCTTTTTTGTGCTAACTTTCAGGAATTTGAAGTTGGAAAAAACAGTCTCAGTTTCTGTCTTTGCTGCTTACCTGTGGCACAGCATTTTAACTGCAGCACACAAAAGATGGGTGGGAGTATTGTGGGGATGAGTAGGATGGGAGTATCTCAGATAATAAAGCCAGTAAAAAATTATTCTCAGGATAACTTTCCATATTAAACAGCAGGTTAATTGAACCTGAGCCATGCAGTAGAAATGTGCTGATTCCAACAACATTTTCCAGCAGCAAAAAAAAAAAGGAAATATTTTGTTTGAGCAGTATAGAAACTCCAGCAGAAGCACAATGTTTTTGTTCTGTCATTAAATTAATTTCATTTAATGTAGAGTGTAAATTTTCATATGTTACTGTCTTTCTAGATTGTATCACTCACACATGTGCAGTGTGATTTAGGAAAGACACAGGAGGGACAGGAATAATGGAAAGAGTCGCTGAAGTGAAACATTGTAATGGCCCTAAACTGCTGCCTGGGAGGAAATGTTGTTCCTTGGCAAACACAAGAATTCCAGCTTTTTGTGCAGAATCGGAATCAATCTCTCCCTTCATCTAAGGATTTCCCAGGCAATGGAAATTGCAGCTCCCAGCCAGGATGTTGTGAGTGTTAATGATTCCCTGGAGTCAGATGTAGCAGGAGATAACTCGAGGGAAGCTGGATAACGCCCTTGCTTTGAGCCATTCACATATTCACACCCCTGGCTGGCCGGGAACACAGGGCAGTGGGGATGATCTGATCCTGGGGATGGATCCTGGGGATGGATCCTGGGGACAGGTGCTGAGGATGGGTCCTGGGGATGGA